ATTATATTATTTTATATTTTTTGTTTCAATCTCATTAATATTTGTGAGAGTTATTCTACATATTTTTGTTCAACTACATATTTTATAACTATTTTTCCAATTCCATGCTATTTTGTACCTTTTCAAGAAGCAGTGCAAAGGGCATGTTGTTCCTTATATTAATTATTTTTTTAATTTAAGTATCATTTTATAAATTAACAAAAATAGTTATTATTAAAAATTGGAAGTTGAAATCTTTTTTTTTCTAAACATAAATTAATTTCACCACAACTTTACATAATTTTTCATTTTTACTAAGTTGCTATCTCCTACGACATTAATTCTATCTAGAATTCTAGAATGTTGGTGGCCACATGTATAAAATAAGTCGCAATAAATATATAAACTTGCTCTGTAGGCATGTAGGTACATAATTCATTAGAATATACAAATTTACTACTCGTGTGTGACTAAATATGTTTTCATAAGCCGATTAGAATCATAAATACCTTCCAACTACTGTACAACCAAAACATACATTTCCGAAATGTAGTTCCATGGATGTGAAGCTGATAATTTTGGGAAGATAATATTTATTAAGATATAAATAGATAGATGTTGTTGCTTAAATAAAATTAGAAGTAAAAAAAAAACAAATTTTCTGGATAAAACAGAAACTTCAAACACTTCCACAAATTTCTTTCTAAAAAATAAAAAAATGACAAATATTTCTATGATTAAAAATAGAAGCAGGCAAAAATACATTTTTGAAGAGCAGCTTTAAAGCATATTTGTGGGTTGTGGAAAAGTTGGGCGAATAAATTAAATTAACTTCCTAAAAAAACTTCCCAATAATTCATGAGTATGAGTAAATTTTTAGGTAACTTATTCATTAACTTTGATAAAGTTGTTGCTCTGGTATATATATATATATATATATATATATATATATATATGTGTGTGTGTGTGTGTGTATCTTGAGCTGCAATGGGTTAAAATCAAATTTCCCATAATTGTATAACACTGCCAATTACCATGTTAATTATTGTCTACTATTTCTTTTGACATATTAAAACTTCCCAGACGTTGCCATCAGAAAATTTGGCTATACGAAAATAATGGAACCTAAACAAGCTTGTAAGTCGAATTAAATGTCAAAAGTTAACCGAAGTAAAAGTTTAGAAGTGGGTTTATTGCAAGAAACGTAACATTAAAACTGAAATAATTCACTAAGTTCAATTACATTGAAATGTGCCAGGATAATAATAAAATGGAGTGGTTAGATGCCAGTCAAAATTGTATTTGCAAAGTATACGAGGAAATAGGAATTTTTAAAACTCTTGTTGAACTCGAAGGTAGAGTTTCAAAAAAATATATTATTTACTAATAATGGTTTGATGGTGTCACATTCCACATACTAAATATGATGGTTTATGCACATAAACTTTTGATTTATAACTAAAATAAATTGCTTGGTATTATTTAAAAGTACAACACAAATGGATGGTATTGCATTCAAACTCGTTTTTTAAACTTTAGGAAAATAATTAAGAGGCAAAATTTTGCTGTATTGATACTATGTATATTGATATGCATATATTAATACCCACGTAATATACCTACATAATAATAAGTAGATATGTGATTTTAAATTCTGTTCATTTTATGTAATAAATACGATTTACGACTTTCATGCCTAAAAATATGATCAAAGTAATTTTCCATTATTGAGAACTATAAACTCAAAAAATACTTCAAAAAGTAAAGTAAAAAAAAAATTACACCTTGTATATCGATCATGAGCACATGATGCAATCAAAAAGTGGTGAAAATAAACTACATATTTTTCAACCATTCACGTCAAGTGTTGCATAGTGAAAAATTCAGCGGCAGAAAAGGAAAAAGTGATGGTAAATTCTGTTATGAGGGTGGTATAGAAAAAAAAGATTATTCTGAAAATACCGATAAACTATAGAATGGTAGACTATGCATAAATAAATATATTTGTAATATGACAATGCAAGTAGACAACTTTAGTTTTGTCTCAATGTAGTATTTCCTAAAGTAATTTAATTAAATGATATCCCCAACAATATCACCAAAAATTTAAACTAGGTCACTCTTACATAATCTTGGTAATTAAATTTTACTTCTTACAATTAGTTGATATTTTTAACTTCCCGAAGACATGGTTTGTGGCTTCACAAAAAAATCAAATTTGCCAATTTTCAAGTTTTCTAAATCGTTTGACACCAGAGGTGTAAAAAGTATGGGTAGGGCTGGACACAAGGCTCATTACATTGGGAAAAGAGATTTTACAAAAAATAGCTACATTATTTGATCCAAAGAAAAATTTCATGGGAGATAACACTGTATATAACCTTGATCTAATATTTCTTCTGAAATATAATATTCATCAGCAGAGTTCAAATAACTATTGAACTTATCTATTGTAAAATACGAAAAGTAGTTTAATTACAAAAATTTATTACAATTTACAATAATGAGCCACGATCTTATAACAAACAACGTGTACATTAATCTTTGTGTTTCGTATTGATCACCGTTGACGTCTACACACATAAAATGTATTTTTGGAACACGAAGTAGAATAAAATGTTTTAAATAAATTAAGTTTGATGAATTTAATGAATTAAGCATGTTTTAAAGACAACACTTGGGTAATGTATTGATTAGTTTTTAGTGAAAGCGAAAAATTTATTTTTGAAGTAAACTATTGAAAGTTTCATCACAATTCTAAAAGTTGCTTAATCCAAGTTTTTATTGATTAAATCAATCATTCACACAATCGAAGTTTTGAGGACCATTTTAAGCTTTGCACCCTTTGCACTGAAAAAATATGTACAAACTGTTCATTATAATTTTAGTGAAAGCAAAAACTTTTTTTTTCGTAATAAATTTTGAAAATTTTATCTTCACTATTTTGCTAAATTTTAATTAGTATTGATTAAGTCGATTATTTACACATTTAGGACTATTTGAAGTTTTAAGCACTATTGTAAGCTTTGCATCCTCCCAAAACTGAAAAGATATGAACAAACTATTCATCAAAATTTTAGTGAGAGCCAAAACTTTGTATTAAAATTAACCTGTCCAAAATTTTATCGTCACAATTCTAAAAGCTTAGCTGCTAAATCTCAATTAATTAATTCGACTACTTAAACATATCGAGCAATTTAAAGTTTTCAGAACCATTTTAAGCTTTGTGCCATCATAAAACTGAAAAGATATGAACAAACTGTTCATTAAAATAAGTATCTGTATCAAAAATCCTAATTAGTATAATTAGCAATTATCATCAAAGTTTAGAATTTAGTACGTCATTTTGGAATGGTTTCGGGGCTTCGGCATAGAGTATAGACGGTCGGTGTTTTAAATTCTGTTTGTCTGAAAACAGGGAATATAATTGCACGGCAAAGGAGAATGGATGGCTGTTTCTGTTCTTTTTCCACTTTCATTCAGAACTTTCTCGATTAACGACAGAAAACCAATGGAAAGGAACGTCGTCGCGTGAAAAACGACATGATGAACTGCCTGGCTGCCGCGACGTCGACGGAACAAACAAAAGAAAACACATTTGTTTAAATTACTCAAATAACGGCATCGAGGCGGCTCAAGTGTGTTTGTTATTGATTTAGATTTGTGGAAAAAACAAACGCGCCAAAAATACTATAATAGTAGACAGGAGAAAATGATATTCATCGAAATCGGATTATAATATCTTCTGTTACAAGTTATGACTTGTAATAATTGTTAATAAATACTTGTAATGATAATAATAACTAGTGGTGTATGGCATCGTGCCTCAAGTCAAATTGCTGGAACTTCTCGTATCGTAATGAACAATTCGAGGCATATTAAATGATTTAAAATAGATTATTATAAATACTGTAACTTATATATGTTTGCAGAGAAGTAAATAAATGAAACTTAATCAATCGAATTTAAAATAAAGGACATTGTCTAATATTTATAAGAATTATATAAACTGAATTGCAAAGTTTATTAAATTATTCATTGAAAGTATATAAATGAACTTTAGAACTTTGAAAGCTAGAATGAAAATTAAAACCCGAACTATTTTCGATATTCAAAAAAATAAAAAAAATAAATAAAATTTAAAAAAATCATTCTCCTAAAAGCAATCGTCTTACAAGCAGAAAGTTTTTCATTCAGATCGGATGCTGAGTTCTCTGCCATTTTTTGCACATCAGTATCTCCGAAACGGCTACAGCTACCTTCACCAAAAACTAATCAACACTTCTTCACGTCATTACGAATTTGATGTTTTTTGGACCATTCAAATCGGATGCTCTGTTCCATCAAAAACTCGATTTCTATTTTCTGCACTCTTTGCTACGTATCTCCGAAACGACTAAACCTGCTTTTGCCAAAAACTAACTAGCAAATTGCCCTATCAATAGAAATCGAATGCTTTTAAGCCATTCAAATCGGTTGATCCGTGCGCCGGAAAACCTGGACGAAAAAATGCACCCATACATACATACATACACACAAATCCATTTTTTCTGAGATATGCCAAAATGTTCAGAAACCTTCAAAACGTAAAGAAATGCAAAAAAATTGAATTTCGATTTTGGGACGATTACAATAACTTACCCTACGGGAAGTAGGGTAAGTTATTGTAATCGTAAATTTACAATAACCTAGATGTAAGTGGCATTTTGCTTCAAGACAAGTTGCATTAACTTTTCAATCACACGCAATAATCAATTTAACCATATCGCTACGAATGTTATCCATGGACGACATCCGCATGACGCATGACATGACATGACAAATAAAGTCTTTCAAACATATTTATAATATCAGTAATTGTATAAATTAATTTATGTAGCACATTTCATTTAACCCATTCCTTCTTCTAAAAATGTAGTTAAAAACTACACTATCTGATATTACTAATATCAATAATTGCATTACGAACAATATTTGTTTAGTAAATTTAAAATACATTTTGATATAAATTAAAAAATTACCTTTATCTAGTAAATAATCACGTCGATGAGTGGCTAGTGATGTAGACCATATATTTGTAATTTCTGAAAAAGAAATAGAAAAATAATTATAATTATAAATTTATAAGAAATATTGTAAATAGTAGCAGTAGTAGTCTAGTATATATATATATATATATATATATATATATATATATAAATATATTATATGTGTGTATTTCTTGCATAAGAATGCAACAATACCATTATAATATTTTTTTCGAAGATTCAGTCAACTCGGGAAGTATTTCATTCATTAGAATCATTAATGTTCTTTGCCATATTATTCGATTTATAAAAAAACGTAAAAATAAACACACGCACTTTACAGTCTTCTGGAAATAATGATACGTTTTCTTCTTCAGTACGCCGAAAAAAATATTCCAATTATAATTCATTTCAAATACAAAACAATAATTATCGCGCTAATTTTGTAAATACGTACAATTCAAGACGGAAGAATATTCTAAAGATGAAACAAACTCGGTCAGATACTTCATCTGCTTAATTAAATACTGACAAGACCGACCAAGACGCGCCATTAATTAGTCATGACAGCAATTAGCAAATTTAGAATCAAAGAAAATGTTACTTCTTGGTATGAATATTTAAAAACGGTTCTAAAAATTTATCACGCAAAAGCTGATATTAATTCGATTATGTAAATGCTATCACAGGGAAATTGTATATTTTACGGGCCATTATTTTATATTTAGTAACTCATTATTAAATTTCACATATTTTATGATCAATATTTTTTCAACCTACATAGCATTTGAAGTGAAAAATATATAAATCAAAATGTGCATATTTTAAATGAATATTGTTAAATAAATGCTGTTGCTCCAATGTAAACGGTGGAGACGCCAGGTTTTAAGTTCACAGAAAGTGATTCATATCAAATAATTAAGAAATTATTTTAATGCAAACTATTAAACTATATGCAATGAATAAAATTTAAAACAGAGTCTTGCAAGGCACACAATACGATCTAAGATCCATCTAACTATGACTTCATAACTAATTTTTAAAGATATTAAAATTAGTTATAAAATTAATCAAGCAAATTTTCATGCCACAAATGACCACATGAGTATTCTAATACTCTCAAGCAAATTATTTAAAAAATAACTGATATCTTCTCTCATATTTAAAATTCTCATTCAAGTAATGATTTATTTTTGCTCATAAATATACACTCAAATCCTAAATAAAAAGAATCTACTACAGACAAATTAACCATGAAATATCGCAATTTCAAGAAAATATTTTTTTCAGAACGACGGGATTGACGTTTCATTGACGTCTCTTTTTTTGCAGAAATCACGTATTAAAATCACAGATTTTATAATAGAATAATTCGTCAGAAGCATTTGATAACTTTAATCAATTTCAAATGTTTATATTATCATTTTTTGATTATTCTGTGATATTATTATAAATATTCATTTGAATTATTGTTAATTTTTATTACCTATAATATAAATATAAATATTCCAAATTTAAACTGGTGTTTATTGATGATTTTTTACGAAAATATTCTTTTTATAATTTTAAGCTTTAAGGAATAAAACTAGGTGATGTTCTTTCTTTGTTTTTTCTAGAATTTGTCACAGATTATATTTTTTCAATAGAAGTCATGTTCAATAACAGCCAAATAGAAGACTCTAGTCAAAAACTGAGGTAGTTAAGGAGTAGTGTTGATGTTTGTTATAAATCTCAAATTAAAGAGAGTCAAAAACAAATTTTGAACTAGCTGTAAGTGGAATTCTGTCTTAAGGCAATTAGGGCATCGTGCCTTAAGGCAAATTGCTGGAACTTCCCGTACCAAAATTTATTATTTCTTTTAAAAACGATTAACATTTTTGAAAAAAATTTACTTCGAAAAAATAAGATTTTTGAAAAACTATAAATTGGACAAAAAATAACTTTTTTTTGAAAAAAAAAAATTTTTTTTTAAATTTTTTTTAAAAAAAAAATTTTTTTTTTAATTTTTTTTTTTTGAAAAAAATGTTTTCTTTATTTTGACATATTTTGGAAGATCTGAACTTGTTTTTCAAAGCAATCGTACTGCTTTAACTGCATAGAGACAAAATATAAAGCGCGTAAGCGCGGCGTCGCTGTCTAACGGGTAAACATTGATACGGAACCCATAGGAAAATAAACAAAATTTATACTTATTGTTAAAATCTCTATAAAATATCTGAAAATTTGATGTGCATATGTCTAATGATCATTTTTGACCGCCAAATGGCATTTTTTTTTACTTTTTTTGTTAGATATCCGAAACCGCTAGACCTGCCTTTATGAAAATTTGATCAGTTCTTTATCTTGTCAATACAAGTAAAATGTTTTTTGAATTATTAAAATCGGACGCTCCGTTCTCTTAAAAACTGAGTTACCGTTTTCGGCACTTTTTGCCCCGTATCTTCGGAACGGCTAGACCTGCCTTCGCCAAAAACTAATCAGCACGTCTCCTTATCAATATGAATCGAATGTTTTTTGAATTATTCAAATCGGTTGACCCGTGTTCCCGAAATCGTCGACGAAAATTTGTATCCGCACATACATACACACACATACATACATACATACACACACACACACACACACACACACACACACATACATCCATTTTTTCTAAGGTATGCCAAAATGTTCAGAAACCTCTGAAACGTAAAGATATATAAAAATTTTCATTTTCGATTTTTTTGCGATTACTATAACTTACCCTACGGGAAGTTAATAATCTTGAAAATTAAGAAAATAGAAACAGTCCAAAGATAATTTTAATTAAAATTCTATCATAGACAGTTAGGAATACAGATTGTTATGGACAGTTTAAAAATGGTTGACGTCTTACGCGAGAAAAAAAATACAGGGAACTGAAAGCACAGGACCAGGAAATATGGTAGCAGAATCAGAAAAATTAAATGCATAAAAGTTTATAAAAAGTGAATAATGATAATAAAATGGCAATGGAAATAATAAACAAATGAGTGAGAAAGAATAATTGATTTGTGATGCTCTCACACCATGAACCTGCCCTGTTCAGCTATTATTTATTACTATTATAGACAGTTTATTAGCTATTAAAGTTTGTTAACTATTAAAGTTTATTAAATAGATTCGTATAGAAATTAGCCGATTCAAAAAATTTATAAAAAATGAGCTCTAAATATTTTGACGTTGGCAGGGTGAAACTGACGATCACTTCAATTATTAATATGTTGTGGTAATAATAATTAAAAATTTACTGTAAAGTTAGAAAATATGTTGTTTAAACGTCTAATGTCTTGTTATTTAACAAGAATTCTGCATTGAAGATAAATTAAAACATCTCCGATTATGGAGTCGTTCACTAGTTTAAGTAACCAGAACCTATGAAAAACTCTCTAAAAAACTAAACTCGTTCATGTTGTTGTTTTTTGCAAAGCCGGAAATCTCAAAAGATGCTTCAGCCACCTGTCAAAATCTGTCACCGAACGGTTTCTGCAAGCATCGAAATTGATTTAGCCACTGCCTTGGTTTATGCTAAAGCAATATATCGATTTCAATTTGAAGCTAACATCGCGCAACCAAGCTCGAGTATAATTAAATACAAAGCTCCATATATCATACACAGACGGCCGGACCGCCCTATCCCAGGCGGTTTGCGAATTTGCAATGATGATATGCGTACATAGATCTATGGAAATTTGCGAACATGCGTTTGCAAAGCGGAAGCTCGATTAACGCAAATGATAGACATATGTCGGGTGCAAACCTCTGGAAAATTGTGGACATCTTCTCAAGATATGGGGCAAAACCGATATTAAATTCTCTTGCATTTTCAATCATTTAATATTGCAATATCCGACACGAATAGCTAAAATCGTAATTGCTTCTAAAATTTTAGCTAGGACGCAAATATTGAGCTATATATCATAAGTAAATGAGGCATTAACTAGTTGGTATTGGTATTTTGCCTTGAGGCAAGTTACATGAACTTCCCGGTATGTGTAAATAATCGACTTAATCAACAAAAAATACATTAATTTATGAGTGGCTAAAAGTATTCCGAGTGGATTTATTACACATAATTAAAAACGAACAAACACGTTAACTCGGGGAGTATTTTCTGAAAGCAAATTTTAAAAAATTAACAATTTTTCTAATTGAACCAATTTCCGGAGGACTTCAATGGTTTAGTATGTTTATTAAGATTAATTACTCTATCGTTATACCAAGTAAATCGTCTAAATTTAATTTTAACAAACGTCAAAAAACTACTAATTTTCTCGACTTTGATGAATGTTCAAAATTAAATTACTTGTCGAAAGGCATTAATACTTCAGTAAGTTCTATAAGACCATGATATATATCGCCAAAAAGCTCCATAAAAATCGGCTTATATTTTTTTTAACAGTTAATTACAAGAAAACGGCTCGGTAGATTTTCACCTAAAACTAATCAGTATCATTCCCAATTAATATCTTTCGAACAGTTTTTGTTTTTTTAAAATCGATTCGGTAGTATAAGCTCAAATATGAACGAAAAGTTTAACAATCATCATCGAGATACATCGAATGATTTTTAAATTTCTGAAATCGGTTCAAGCGTTTTTGAGCAAACGTCGATGAAAGATATAATTTTGACAAATGCCAAAAAAACGATGCACACTTTGACGAATTTTTAAAGCTAAACGAGTTGTCGTAGGGCCGTAATATTTTAGTATGATCTAGAAGACTATGGTATCTACCGAAAAAAATAATAATAAAAATTGCCAAAAAACAAATTTTAACACTTTATTACAAGAAAACAGCCCGGCCAATCTGAAAAAGTGAAATTTTTTTCACTTTTTGCTATATACCAAAAAACGGCTCGGCAGATCGTCGCGCTGAAAACTGACAAGCGATAGTCCTCATGGAGATACATCGAATGGCATTCAAATTTTTAAAATCGGTCCAGCCGTTTTCAAGAAAACGTCGATTTAGGATAAAAAAACATGTTCAAACACACACATACTTTTTCCAAATTTGATCCCATTCGGTTCAGAATGGTCG